ATGATGAAATGTATGAAATATGATGAAATTATGAAGTATGATGAAATGTATGAAGTATGTTAAAGTATGATGAAATGTATGAAGTATGATGAAGTGTATGATGTATGTTAAAGTATGAAGAAATGTATGAAGTATGATGAAGTGTATGAAGAATGATGAAATGTATGAAGAATGATGAAATGTATGAAGTATTATGAAATGTATAAAGTATGATGAAATGTATGAAATATGATGAAATGTATGAAATATGATGAAATGTATGATGAAATGTATGAAATATGATGAAATGTATGATGAAATGTATGATGAAATGTATGAAATATGATGAAATGTATGAAGTATGATGAAGTGTATGAAGTATGTTAAAGTATGATGAAATGTATGAAGTATGATGAAATGTATGAAATATGATGAAATGTATGAAATATGGTGAACTGTATGAAATATGATGAAATGTATGAAGTATGATGAAATGTATGAAGTATGATGTAATGTATAAAGTATGATGAAGTATGATGGAATGTATGAAGTGTGATGAAATCTATGAAGTATGAATTATCATGATAAATCATGCATGATAGAAATTAGATGAATTTTTGTTTTTACAGACAACACACTTATATTAATCCTTAATATGAAATAAAACACCTTAAAGGTATCTTAAAATGAAGAGGGTAATGATCATATATTATAGACAAGTTAAATGAGTAGGGCATAATTAAAAAATATAACTTATATAAAATCAAATGTATTATAACAATTGTTTTTTTAATATAAGTGTGATGTTTTTCTTTTATCTGAATCTAACGAATGTAAAACGTATGAAGCAGAATAAAATCATAGGTCTTATTTCAACTATTGTTATTTTTGACTCGGGTGGAATTTTTATGTGTTAATTTTTTTTCTCAGAAGGATCCGGCATATTGGAGAAAATAAAATAAGGTGTTGAATCCTTACTGTGAAATCGCACTATGTGAAGATGTCGTTAAGGATTTTTTTTCCTTTTAGACGGTAAAATACTTTGAATACTGTCTATATAGGTGTTATTATACACAACAAACTTCTCAAGCATTGAACTAAAATATAATCGTCTATCTCATTTTAATTTAATACAATAATCTTAACTTTCACAATAGCTTATCGATATTTAACAAGTTTTGAGTATTTAAAGTTTATAATTAACACATGTAGATTAATTTGTAATTAGTTTTAAGACAACCATTGTTTGTATTGTACGGGGTTTGTTATTGTTCATGGTGCAAGACTTCGTTAAGGGTCACTCTGACCAAAAGAGAATTATTTTGCGCGTGCCTTTGAGTTTGAGTAGCCGAGTATCATCTCAAAGATTGGGATATGATTCCTTGACCTGTATCAATTTCTTTCATTATTTCTGAGACTTCCCAAGTGTTACCAACGTTCACTCGTTACTTTAATGTTTATTGGATTTTTAATAGCAAACTGTATGTGTATCTGGCTTGATTTAACCATAGTAAGGTAAGGAAATGATTCATTACCAACACTGCGTTTAAAAGTTCCATAAAGTTGCCAAAATGTTCAATTAAAATTGTAAGCCACTACACAAGTATATCTGCTTGACCAAGTTCACCTTTCTACTTCTTTGCCGTTTGTTTTTTTGTATTTCATTAAGGGTTTGGTACAGACATATGACAGGCATGAAGTTTACTTTTATTTTCTGAATGTCTTCAACAATTTTAAAGGCATTGTTTCTATGCAATTGCCTGTAAACTGTTTATATTTATTTAAGGTTACCTCCCTTTACACTGAACTAGTATTAGTCTATACTGCAATGACGTGACAATTTCAGAACTAAGTTTTATTTAAGATTTGAACGACATATAGAAGCGAGGAGCACATATAACAAAAACACAAGGCAATATTATGGAATATAACACACTTCTTTAATAAGGTTGGGCACTTAACGTTTCAACACAATATACACGGGTCGATCAGATGTAATGGCAAGAGAATAAAACATAACAAAATATATACCAACAAGAAACAATATAGAGATTAAGAGGGGCAATAGATAAAAGGGGTATATATTTTGTTATGTTTTATTCTCTTGCCATTACATCTGATGACGACACGTGTATATTGTGTTGAAACGTTATGTGCCCAACCTTATTAAAGAAGTGTGTTTTATTCCATAATATTGCCTTGTGTTTTCGTTAGTGTAATGGGTTAAATTTCATTAGCCTAGTAATTTTCATTTCTACCTGCTGATAGCATAACATCTTTCCCAATGATTCATATTTGCATATTGACCCAGTAAGGCCTATTCTTGTTAAAGAAATTTAAATTCCTTGCTCATAGTTACTCTATATAAACCCGATCTTGCTACTTAAAGTAAGCTGGATGGAAATCAATCAAATTCCAACTTTTCCGGCATGAATGTTTCTGTTCACTAGTAAATCAGAGTGAAGATATGAACTTTATGAATAAATGAACGAATAAGGGTTTAACATCAGTGTCAATGAGTATACAAGTAAATTGTATAATTATCTGTGTAACCAGAGATTGTACTCAATGTTTTGATTATAGATTACGCTACAACCGATCTTTATATCTACATTATTATTTCTTACTTTATGTACCTAATCTTGACCTCTACAACGGTCAGTCAGGTATCAGGTCAATTTGAGAAAATCAATAACGTGAGGTGTGAGTGTAGGTAATTTGCACATTTGGAATTAAATGGTGAAAATCAACCGTTGAAAGTTCTGTAAATTACATTTGATAGCTATTATTATGCAGGTAAATAGTTTTAAAGAACTAAGAATTTTAAAGTTTGTAAGATAGTTTCGTTTAACATCACAGTTTGTTAATATTCTGATAGTTTACTTACAATCTGAT